TGATTTCAAAGCATTTTATAAAGGCATTACTTCAACGTTTCAAACACTGGAGCTGATATACTCCAAGACTAAGTGACAGACAGGACTGAAACTCTCACCATACTGATTTATAATCTAGCATTATCTAAATTCCTAGAAAGAGGACATACAACATAAAAAATACTTGAGCTGAGCTGAGTACTTCAGAGTACAATCATCTAACACATTATTAGATAAAACATAACAGGATTTGTCAAACATATTTCAGCAACCTCATGTGAAACTTCGTAGCAACATAAAATATTGAGAGAACAACCTTAGAAACAACTCATAACTACTCGAAGCAACAGCAAACCGTGTAAAAAGGAAAATTTGTGATCAGACTGGTCAAGTCAGCAAGAAGGAGATTTTCTTCAGTGGACAGATCTGTTTCTACAGAGGACAGACTGTAGGTACAGTGTACCTACATCTGTTTACGTTACAATCTCCACTGTAGAAATCCACTTTCCAGAAAACCAAACAAACGAGCATAAAATGTGTTTTGAATTAAAGGATCTATTTTAGGAAGTTGTTTAACCACTGAACTGCTATATATATACTGCAACCATAATACAAACAAACCTGATTCAGAATATAATTTAATTACATTGATTGGCTGTGTCTTTCCAAATCTTAATTTTCCATTGGTTAACTTTTAGCTGTTTTTTCATGTCTAGTAGCATATTTTGTTTGTCTGTCTTACAGCTATGGCTTGTACAACATGTGTTTAATGTAGTTTTAAGCTTCTCAGGTGAAAGATCCTTTGGAAGAGAACTGGTATTTGTGAGCTCTGTAAATTGTGTCTCTGTTTCAGCCCTGTATTCTTCAATTCAAATGTATCATAAAACTGTCAGTCTTAAAATGAGAATCTGAAATCATAAAGCATCCTCTACTTGATTTACTGCTTAAATGCTTCGTTTCCTTTCACTGCAGTCTTATTCTCACTCATTATTAAATAAGACTGAAGGAGTAAGAATGGTGTAGAAAATAATGCAAAAATGCATATTATTTTAGATATCCTGAAATATTAAGGTGATCTAATCATGAAAATCTCTGAAAACTGAAAGTTACTGACTAAGAAAAAGAATAGTGAAAAATACATGCATAAAAGTTTTTATTCCAGATCTGTTACTGTAGAGCGTTCCTCTCAAATTATAGTAGATGTGTTAAGAGTCCAATTTTCCAAACGGCACTTAAAACGCTGACAAAACTGCCTAAATGCTAATTTCAGTTTTGAATTCACTATGATCAGGATAATAGAGTGTATGGAAGGATATGCCCCAGATACAATTAAGGACACTGCAATTTTCACAACATCTTTCTTTTGTGGACTTGACGTCATCAACACAATTTGAGCTACAAAACTGGAAAGATACAGGATCAAGAAAGACATAACGGATTTAATGGTAGTGAGGTGAACATCTACCAAAGGATCCCTGAATCTAGAATCTAGATACAATTTCATCTTCTTTGTATGTTTCCACAGTGAAGATATTAATAGAGTTGAGGTTAACACAGAGAGTACAAGAGGAAAAAAACAACCTGTAAAGTAAAGAAGCAGGTAAAGGTGTGATCTCTCCCCATCAGTGGCATGTGCTGTTCTATTTTCTCTACAGTTCTCTGCTGAGCTGCAGAGGTAAGTGCTGGGTGCAATCCACAGGAAAGGAAGAGAAGTCACAGAAGAGATGACCAGCGATCCCAGGAGAAGCCATGGGACCATCCCAGCTATTCTCAGCTTGATTTGCAGCAACAGCCGTTGGGTGACATTGATTATTTTTACACAGTAGAATACGTAGAGCCAGGTACTGAACCACAAACTTGCATTGTTCACAAACATCCATATAGTACCAAAAGCTTTGTACACAGAAGCCAAGTAAAATACATCCGTGAAGTAGAGACTGTGAACGTGCATCAGTACAGTCACCTGCAAGATAAATCTTGATGTGCTCAGAAAGAACAGGATCATATCAGTAGAAGACAGTTTTTTGCTTTTGATCCAGTTAACGATATTAACAGCTGTAATAAATCCATTTCCAACAAATCCAACAGCAACTTCAATAGCTATGATGCTTATTGAAATAATAAGAGCTGGTGGAAACATCTTGCTGCTTTGGTCACCTGTGCCTAATTAGCTTGTGAAGCTGAGCAGACTTGATGGTTTCTGACTAACCCTAGCTCCAGCCTGCTCACCTTATATCTAGGAACAAAGAGACATCTGGAAATGATAGTGGAAAATGATTGTTGATGTTCTTCCTGAATGTGCAAATCAGAGAAGGATTTAATAAATCATTTTAACCTTTTATATACATAAGATTTGCCTACACTTTTCCTTACGGAACTGGGACAGCCAGATATATTAACTTCCCCATCTTTGGTCCAATTGTTTATATTCCTACCTTGAATGACAGAAAGCTCTGTGGCTTTCTGGTTGCAACTGTATGTAACAACATGAAAGGAGATGCATCACAAAACCCAGCACAGAGAGCAACGTATATCAGGAGACATGACAATAGGTCTTATACTGTAACTAATATCTTTCATGCTGCTTTGAAGGTCTATAAATTATAACTAGATGAATTAGTTACAACCATTTTAACATGGAGAAAATTATATGGCCTACAGCTCTATTCTAGGGGATCACTCCAGACAACAAACAAAACTATATTTACCTAAGGACTATTGCTCCATATAGTTGACAACTTCTTATATGTTACACAGAATCACAGAATGCTAGGGGTTG